TTTGCTAAATTAGCCAGAGAACTTTTCAACCTATGTTTCCAACTTAATTCCCAAGCTCAACTTAATTAGCAAAAACTAAAAAAGTGATGCAGTGTCCAAGGGTCTTGAGCATTCAAATATTAGAGATCTAGATTTTTATCAGATCAAAATTTTAAAAGTAGCCATAATATTCAATATAAAGTAACAGCTCCCAGTAATTTCCTCAGGTCTTATCTTCTTTAGAAGTTGGCTCAGTTCACTTTGCCTCATTCTTGAAAGCCTCATCAAAATTTTCCATAAGATCTGGAACATTGTCCTCATTCTCCTCTCCTTCCACTAATAGGCAGTGCTTTTCCATCCACAGATTGTTCTGACAGAGCTGCAGCCAGTCTCCTGAAGCTCCTCAGGCTAAATGCACTGGGCTGGTTTAGTTAAGATTCTGGTGGCATTTCTGTTAGGTGCTTTCTCTCAGTCTGGCCTGTCATGGTGAAGGTATTCACTGCTAAAATGAATCACTGTCCCCTAAGGTTTGTGAACATACTTCCCTACTTTCTTTAAGGAGAACTGAAGTTTTTTTTTTTTTTTTTTTTAAAGATTTATTTATTTGTGCATACAGAACTGGGGTACAGGCCAGAGGCTCAGGGGCGGTGAGAGGCTTCACCAGAGACAGAGTGGGGAACAGAACAGGCAGATCGACAAAGTACACTGCTGAGGGGAGCAGCGGGCGGGTCAGGAGAGGTCTGCCACACCATGTGGTCACCTCCGGGGCAGGCGGGAATTGAACTCATGCGGAAGCGGCTTTAGATTCTCAGTGCTGTGCTTTAACCCGCTGCGCCACCAGGGAGGGCCCTGAAGTTGTTTTTTTTTTTTAAGATTTATTTTTATTTATGCTTACAGAACTGGGGTACAAGCCAGAGGTGTGGTGGGTGAGAGGATTCACCAGAGACAGAATGGGGAGCAGAACAGGCAGATCTACTGAAATACACTGCTAAGCAGGTAGGTCAGCAGAAATCTGCCACACCATGTGGGTCAGCTCCCTTGTCAGGAATTGAACTTGTGCTGTAGTGGCTTTGGAGAGCTTCATAATGCAGCGCTTTAACCCATTGTGCCACCAGGGAGAGCCCTGAGAACTCAAGTTTTAAATCATCTGCTGTTCCTCTTCTGTGAGCCACCTTCTTCCTGAACTGCTCTTTTCTTACCAGTGTGCATTTGTGCTTGTAGTTTAGCAAGTTTCTTCTGATTCAGCATAGTTCTTTCATTGACATGGGGCTGCCCAGGGGACTGCATGGAATTAGACATTTGTACATGGGGCAAGAGGATAGCTAGAGGCTATATTTAATATATTAAATAAAAATTAGTCCCTTAACTTAAAAAGTTATGCCTTTACATTGTCTACTGGTGAGATATAGCAAGTGTGTGTACATTGTTTTCTGCCCTTAGTATTTGGCACAGGACTCCTGAAACTCTCATAATTTCCTAAGCACTAAGTGTACTAAAGCATCTTTAGTTCACAGTAGTTCCTGACACAGAGTTTCTTGGAATTTCCTAGGTGTACTTTGTTCTATTAACATGACTTTGGGTGGACTGCTAGGTGGGGGCTGATCACTGGAAAGACCAAGCCAAGCCTGGCCCTCCATTCTCCATGGAGGGGAGAGGGACTTGAAGTGGAGTGAATGATCCATTATCCCCATCTGAGGAAATCTTCATAAAAGTCCCAATAATTTGAGGTGTACAGAGCTTCCAGTCTAATGAACATGTGCTGGGAGAATGTTGTGCCTTAGAGCACCATTCTGGTATGTGGGAGCACATGCCATCCACATGGGTGTTGATCTACATCTTTTATCTTTTTGTAATAAACTGGCAAACAGTAAGTAAACTTTTCCTGAATCCTGTTGAGTGTCTCTAGCAAATCACAAATGGTCATCAAAAAAAAAAAATAAGAAGAGTTTATACATTTTTCAGCATAATTCTCTTACTACTTACTTTTTCAATAGTATATTTTTCTTCCTTGAAAGTTGACCTTGTATTTCAGGACAAGTATATACAAATTGGTGTATGTTCATGTTCTTACTTTTCTTGGCAGTTCTATTCATTTGTTTAAGCTGAATTTGTCCTAGTTTAAATAATTTCTCTCTGTTGATAGTAGGGAATGTGTCTGAATTTCACACATATATAGGTAATGCAAATTTGTAAAACATGTGTAAAGATTAATTAGCCCAGACACTGTAACCTCTGGGAAGGTAGCCTTTAATTCTCACACAATGGTTAATAAATATATATTTTTAAAGATTTATTCATTCATACAAATTGGGGTACAGGCAAGAGATGCGGAGGGTGAGAGGATTCACCAGAGACAGAGTGGGGAGCAGAATAGGCAGATCTACTGAAATATACTGCTGAGGGGAGCAGTGGATGGGTCAGGAGAGGTCTGCCCACCATGTGGATCACCTCTAGGGCAGGCGGGGATTGAACTCATGCTGAAGTGGCTTTAGCTTCCTAGTGCTGTGCTTTAACCCACTGCGCCTCCAAGGAGGGCCTAATAAATATTTTTAATGCATTAATTGGAGTCTATTTTCTCAGAATATTTTCCCATCAGCAGCTTCATTCCTTTAATCCACAACTGACCATTTCTAATAAAGTAATTAATAAATATACTTATTCTTCCCTATGTATAGTCTTTTCAGAAAATTGAAACCTTTATATTGACTTAAAAATGGGTCACAGTGGACTTTTCTCTCTCCAACATTTCACTATGAAAATTTCCATGCAGGAAAGTTGGAGAATTGTTAAGTATACCTACTACCTAGATTCTATAGCTAATATTTATTTTTTGAAGATTTATTTATTTATTCATACAGAACTGGGGTACAGGCCAGAGATGCGGAGGGTGAGAGGATTCACCAGAGACATAGTGGGGTACAGAACAGGCAGATCGACGAAGTACACTGCTGAGGGGAGCAGTGGCCGGGTCAGGAGAGGTCTGCCTTGCCATGTGGATCTCCTGCGGGGCAGGCGGGAATCGAAACTCATGCGGCAGTGGCTTAAGCTTTTTAGTGCTGTGCTTTAACCCGCTGCGCCACCAGGGAGGGCTATATAGCTAATATTTTTAATATAGTTATTATATTATCTATTCACTGTATCAGTGCATCTTTTAAAAGAATTTTTACTCTTCAGGGATGTTACATGTATCACTACATTTCATCCTTAAGACTTTAGAATACATTTGTTGTGTTTACAAATAAAATGCATTTGGAGTATGGCTATTTAAAATTATATGATCATTTGGAACATGAATTGTTGGAAAATTAAACTCTATCATCTTTATTTTCCATATTCAGATTGTAAGGGCAAATGAGAAAGGAAAAAAAAAATAGCTTACACCTATATAATTCTTTATACTTTACAAAGAATTTATGTGTACGTTAGCTAATTCTGCCCAATGTTGCTATTAAGAATAATACTTATTTTGTGCCAGTTTTTAAGTTTACTTTCAACAAAGATGCTATGCTAAATTCTCTTAGTCCTGCTGATCCTTGGTTGTCATTTTTATTTTTCAAGTGGCTTGATTTGTTCACTTAAAAAAAATAATTTTCAGCCCTGTGGCGTAGCATGCCTTTCAAACTCAGTCATCTGCTGCTGTATTAAGACCAAACTCTTTGGTGTTTGGGCTCCTGAGGACAAAAACATTTTCTTGAGTGTTGTATGCATTATAAGTTATTACTCATAATATTTGGGCACAGTGTAGGAAGGTTTTCTGAAAATGATCCTGCATTCATTGTTTTATCTCTAAATCATCCTTTTTTTTTTAAGATTTATTTATTTATACATACAGAACGGGGGTACAGGCCAGAGGTGCAGGGGTGGGGTGAGAAGATTTACCAGAGACAGAATGGGATGCAGAACAGGCAGATCCACTGAATTACACTACTGAGGGGAGCAGCAGTGGGTTTGGAGAAGTCTGCCATGCCATGTGGGTGATTCCCCATGGGGGGGGTGAATTCATGCTGCAGTGGCTGTGATAGCTTCATAGTGCTGTGCTTCAACACCTTGGGCCACAGAGAGGGCCCTCATCTTCTAATATTCAAAATGTTAAATGACTTTAAAGGCAAAATCAGTACTTGAAAGGAGGATGCAAAGAGATAGGTAGGCCAGTAAAAACAAAAGTAGGTTTACTTCTGTGCTCCCAGGCAAGGTTCATTGACCCCAGAGAGAGTTGAGGTCAGAGAAGTCGCACTGAAGGAAGGGTAAGAGGGGTTTTTATAGGCCTAGGTAGTGGGGAGAAAAGCCAGGTGGAAAATTTGACAAGTAACTGGAACTTATTTTTCTCCTGGGGCTTCTGGTGGTGACAAACAAGTCATGAAGTTACTGCTCCCGAATATCTGCTTCTGCTTGGGGCAACTGCTACTTCCCTATGCCTTGACTGGTGCCTGACCCTTACAATAATATGCAAATTTACATTAATAGTTATTTCTCCTTAGATTATTTAATAATATTCAGTGAATTATAGTAACTACTCTTTTTTTTTCATTCACGATGTACAAGATTCTGTGATTTAAGCCATTATATATTTAATTAATGTAATGATGCTGTAAGCATGGAGAAAACTAAGGAATGGAAGGTTTAAATGGCTTATGCTGGATATATGGTTAGTAAATGGCAGAGGATATGAAAGCTTCAGCTCCAAAGTCCTTGCATTTTATCTCTATACTGGGTGTTTTACATAGTATATGTTTCTCAGACTACCTATATTATAAGTTACTAGGGAATTATTGGAAATGCAGTTTGCTGAACTTCATTGTAGACTTACTGAATCTGACTCTTTATGAGAGAAGTATGTTTTCTAGTATTCAGTTGATTTCTGTGTACTCTCAAGTTTGAGAACCACTGTGCTATTTGTCTATAAACATTATCATGGTGAAATCTCTACTCATATAGAAAGATAGCCAGAACCAGTGCATCATTCTTGTTCTTGGATACTTGACATTTTGGATTGATCTTAATGCTTTTTTCTTTACCTCAAGATTGTCATGGATTTTAAGCACCCCAATGGTTTCACAGTGCCTGTTATGTTGCCTCGTCGGAGTTTGCTGGTGATGACAGGAGAAGCACGATACCTTTGGACCCATGGGTAGGTGTTGGGATGACCTTGATGAATGGGGGACCTTTTGCTTTGGGAGAGCTCTCACTTTCTTACCTGAGCCATCAGAGCCATGCCTGCCCATGGAAGGTTTAAATTCCCAGTGAACTCCTTTTACTTTACACCTAGATTTATCAGTTGTGAACATTTTTTTAGGTGTTTTATTTGTCTCTCAATTGTGCTATTGTTATTTTGTTCATTTGAATGTAAGTTGCAGACATCATGCCTCTTTATTTGTATGTGCTTCATTGCATATATCCCTAAGATTAAGGAAATTCTTGGCTTGTTATTATGAAGCTTTTGAGCTACAACTGGTTTTTTACATTTTTAAAGGGTTGTAAATAGCAAACACAACAAGGAATATGCCACAGAGACTATATTTGGTCTTCTATGCCTAAAATATTTACTCTCTTACCCTGTCACAGGAAAGTTTACCAACCCCTGTTCTATAAACCCATAGTATAGTCCTCAAATTCAGGAAATTCAACATTGGTAAAATACTGTTATTATACCCTTATATAAACCATCTTTGGGTTTTGCTTGTTGTACTTTATTATACTATCAGAGACAAACTACAGTCTGATAGTAGTTAAAACAACAAAACCAGATTTTATTCAGGAGCTGTTGAAATAGAAGGAAAGGTACTCTCAGTGTAGAACTGGGCTTATTTCCAAATATCACACGGAAGAATGAAGATTTATAGCTCAGGAGCCAGGTTTGAGACTGGCATTGGCAGTGATGGAAAATTCCTCAGAAGACTCATCAGTGGTAAGGGGAGGATTTTAGCCAAACTGAGCATGCAGGGGAATCAATCACTTGCTGGGGGATGGTAGGGAATAAGAATTTGGTCAGTTATTGAGTACAGTTGGATACTGTGAGGGAGTCTGTGTTAATTTATTTATCATGATTCTTGCCTGCTGGATTCTTGGAGAATGTGCCCAAGAATAGTTAGTTTGGTCAAAGAGAGAATCCTTGTCAGTACTTTATTATAAGCTTTTCTTCTCACTAGGATTTTATCTACAATGCTGTGTTACATCTAATTGTCACTTCTTTTTTAGCCTTCTTTAATTTTATACAGTCCCTCAGCTTTTCTTTGTTTTTCATGATTGACACTTTTAAGGAATCCAATTATTTTATAGAATGTCCTTGACTATGAGTTAACTTGGTTGACCTAATCTGAAAGAAATAGGTTAAACACTTTTGGGAGGTCCATTTCCAAGGCCTTTTGAGGCCTTTGAAGCAATCACATTGCTATAATTTATATATATTGTACTTAAAATGCTTCTGAGTCCTGTACTTATTAATACTACTCAGCTGGAGATTTTTGCTGAGGCATTTTCATAAAAACTCAGGGAAATGAACATGCAAATGAATTTGTAATATATCTCAAATGTGAGCCATCACATTTGTGCACTGAAGCTTAAATTTACTTGCTTTTTGGGTTTAGAGCCATTTAGACTTTTGAGATTATTCTCATTTTCTTTTTTTAGGTTCAAGCTCATTTACTATTGGTAGCATTTAACATAAGAATGATGATATTAGAGCAAGTACAAACTAAACATACTTTTCGTATAAACATATTTTAATCTGTTTGGAGTAATGGTACAAATTATTTCTCCTAAACATCATTTTGGTCACATTATTCTTGTTCAAAGCATGTTGTATTGTTAAGAGCATTATCTCTGGATTGAATTGAAGGTAATATTTCTTTTTAAACCTTCCTCTAGAATCAAATTGTCTACACTAATTTTATGGAAAAATCCTCAGTATTATTTTTAAAAGCCTCTATTGATACCTACATTGCTTGTAAGTTAGGTTTTGTGTGTGTTTCTCTGACAGAGAAAGGAAGACTGACCAAACATGTGACATGCAACTTTTGAGGCGTTCACTAGGATCATTGGTTGAAAGACAACATTGAAAAAATCACATTTAATGCACTTAAATATATATATATATACACACACACACACACACACATACACATATTATACACACACATATATACACATTATTCTCTATGTAATGTATACATAAACACACATGTATACATATATGTGCATATACACATGTATATATGCACATATACATATGTGTATACATATATACATATATGTGTATATATACATATATACATGTATACATATGTGTGTATACATATATACGTATATGTGTGTGTATATATACATATATATATTATATAGAGAATAAACCTTGATTAAAAAATACATTGATCTCTGTGTTGAGTAAAGTGTACTTCTTGAAGGATATGAATTGAGAAAGATTGAATAAACACTGCCATATAGAACTAGTCCAAACACTTTTATTTTCCTTGTGTTCAGAAGTGGTATACTGGCAGCATTTGTGTCAAATAGAGCAGTCAGATATATGCTACTTGAGTAGAGCAGTGGCACTTACATAAAAATCTGATTTTTCTGTTTCTTTTGAAATTTGAGAAGATCTGACAACATTGGGCCCATAGTACATTTGACAGCAGCAGCCAAGACTCAATGTGCTTCTTTTGATGAACACTCTATATTTCCTGTCACTTCCTGTGACTTCCTGATTGTAAGCTGAATGTCAGTTTTAACCTTTGCGCTTACACTATTTTTATCTTATAACAAAATTAAATGAAAACTACGTCTCAAATTCATGTACATACTAAGAGTAGTAAATGGATAGCTAAAATAAACATGAATGTGTATTCTTAAAAGTACAGGAGAACACTGTTTTTTTTTTTATGAATATTTTTCCTATACCTTTAATGGCAAACAGTTTATTTTCAAACACATCCACCAGCTTCACTCATTTATGTTATTTGATCAGCCATTTGATACATTAGTTCATAAGCATATGTCAACTTGCCTTTAAATTGATACCAAGCATTCTCTTGGTGTCAGGCATTATTCTAAAAGTTTTACATATGTTAACTCATCCAACTCACAGTCATAGTGGAGTTTGTTCCATGCTTTTGGCCCATTTTTAAAGAAAAACGGAGTATAAAGAGGTCATATAACTTGCACAAAGTTCTAAAACCATTAGATGACGGAACCAAATAGGAAGCCAGGTATATTGCTTATAGTTACATGCTATACTCAAGTTTGTTTGCTCCCTGACTCTGAATGTATACTGTACCTTCTCATCTTCATACTTTTGCCAACTCTTAATGTACTAATTACTTTCTCTTTCCTTTCACTTTGTGTTTTAGATAGGCCCAACTTCAACATTTACTTCCTTTGTAACTTACAAAGCTTTTCTGACCACACTAGCTTGAAATAATTTCCCCCTTATCTTGATTCCTAGCAACTATATTGTTTCCTACTACCTTGTGAGGTCTTTACTATTTTATTGAATAATTAATCTATTAAAATGTTTTTATCTTTTTATTTAATATTATCCCAACTTAGATTCTATTTTAAATGCATAGAAGAAAAGAAATGTTCAGAGGTGTTTAAAGAATTCATCTTTTTTTTTTGGAGGTACTGTCTTTAACTTATACACAATTACATGTCTTCTGGTCTGTTGAAACAATAGATCAGACAACATTTACCACAGTGCTGCAGTGGGGAACCATAAAAACTCCATGACCACATTCATCTGTTGGGAACTCCTGACAAAAGCAACTGAGTTTTACCATTCTTGTTCAACTTATAATATTTCAGGATAGTTAACTTAACCTTCTTTCTCTGATGTTTGTTTTTTTTTTTTCTTTATTTTCTTAGCACCACCACACAGTTTCAAGACAACAGAAGAGTGGATCCCTTTTCAATGTTGTAGTCAGACAAACTACATCCATTGTGCAGTTGCTTGCCAGCAAATACCAGTCATTGCTGGTCAGAGATTTCCTTCCTCATCCTGGCTTTTGGCCTTTACATTTTCTGTTGCACCTAAGGGCTCAATGTTGAGACTGATAGTCTTTCCTGTAAGGGTTTAAATGAAAATCTGCATCTTGGTGGAGGTTCCACTGCAGGTGCTGATGGGAAAATCAAATTCTTTATTCTCTACATATGAAATATCTATTCCCCAAAAGTTAAGATTGGCACTCAAAGCAGTTAAGTACTATTTGCCTTTACCTAAAACTTAATTCTAGGCAAATGATGTAATCAACTCAAATGAGTCATCAGAGAGAATTCCTTAGTCTCTAAGAATGAGATTCATTAGCTAATGAGTTTTAATATTCATTATTTTAAAATATCTTGACGTTCTTCAGCACCATCATTTTAATTACTTCAGTTACCAGAGTAACAATCATATTCACTTAGGCAACAATTGTTTGTTTTTATTTCTTAAAAATCACCTCTAGTGCAAATTCTTTATTATTATTTTTTAAATATGGACTGCTTTATGAATTTGTGTGTCATCCTTGCATAGGTACGGTGTTAACCTTCTCTCCATCATTCTAGTTTTAGTAGATGTGCCGCCAAAGTGAGTGCTAGTATGAGCTCTTTAAAAACAAATTTTAAAATCAAACGTTATTGATTTGCTATTTGCTTACAAAATGGTATAATTTGAGGGAGTTTGCAGCTTCATACCTTAACATGCTTTTCTTGAATGTAGAGCTCCAGTTTCATATTACTTCCTTCATCTGCTCTTTCCATTTCCCTTTGGAAACCACCACATTTTTCAGTGTAGAGTAATTTTTATTGCTTTGCTAGTTTGTTTTCTTGATTATTTATATGCTACAAAAAATGCAAGCTCTTTTAAAAAACCATTCATAAAACCATTATTTTATGAAGCTTGCATAATAAAACTTGTCAAGGACTTACACCAAGAGAAAATAGAGACCAGTATCTTCCAGAGGTGAAAAAAATCTTTGACAAAAATATTAGCAAATGCAAATACTGTAATGCATGTAAAGAAAATATATCATGACCAAGTAGAGTTTACTTCAGGCTCAATTTGGCATTTAGAAACCAAGCAATGTAATTTACACTTTAAAGGAACAAAAGAGAAAATATATATGACAGAAGTTAACATTTGTTCTGAAAATTTGGCTATTTATTACAAGAAGGAAATTTTTGTGACAAAGGAGATCTATGAAAACTCACAGCTAACATACTTAATGGTGGAATCTTGAGTGCTTTTCTCTGAGCTACTCAGTAAGACAGGCTTGTCCACTGTTAACATTTTTATTTAATATAGGATGCCTTAGCCAGTATAATTGTCAAGAAATAGAAATAAAAATCATGCAGATTTAAAAGGAAGAAGTACTATTCTTTATTTGTAGATATTTGTGAATGGAGACAATCCTAGGGACGCTACAGACAAGTACTAGAACTAATTAATGAATATAGCAAGATACAGGAATTTTACTTACAGGGCCTCTACTTCCTTTGTAAAGTTTATTACTACATGTTTGATTTTTAAAAATGTGTTAGTAAAGGGTATTCTTTTCTTGATCTATTTCTCTTCACTGCCATAATTTTTGAAGCTTGATTGTGTAACCTTCCACTGTGGTATATACCATTTTACCATTTTTTTTAGTGGAGTTTTTAGGTTTTTTGATGTATACTGTATCATGTGCATATAGGGATCATTTTACTTCTTACTCAATTTAAATTCCCTTTATATCTTTCTCTTGCCTGATTACTCTAGCGATGACATCCAATAATTTGCTGAATAGTAGTAGTGAAAGTAAACATTTAGGTCTTATACCTGCTTTTAGAGGAAATGCTTTTAGATGTTAGTTGGGGCTTGTCATCTTTATTTATGTTTCGATATATTCCTTTTACTCCTATTTTGGAGAATTTTTATTATAGATGAATGTTTACTCTTATCTAATGCTCTCTCTCCATCTATTGTTAAAATCATATGGTAGTTATCTTTCCTTTGTTGATGTGAATTACATTGATCAATTGCAAATGTTGCAACATCCTTGTATCCCTGGAATAATCCCATTTGGTCAGGTTTGTGCAGTCCTTTTAATGTGTTGTTGAATTTGCTTTGCTAAGATTTTGTTTGTTAGGTATATTAGTCTGTAGTTTTCATTTACTGTGATATCTTTGCATTTGGTATGAGTAATTTATTTACATAAGATGTGTTTGGAAGTATTCCCTACTTTCAGTTTTTTTTTTGGAGAAGTATAGGAATTCATCTTTGAAGGTTTGATAGAATTCAGTAGTGAAACTTGTGCTAGGCTTTGTATTTTTGGGAGACTTTCGATTACTGTTTCCATTTCCTTGTTTATAATTGATTTGTTTGGGTTTGTCTTCTAGGTTATTCAATTTATTGACATAGATGTTCAGAGTAGTCTCTTAAAAATCCTCTGTATATCTGAAATACCTGTTGTAACTTCTCTCTCTCTCTCTCTCTCTCTCTCTCTTTTTTTTGTGGACCTAGCCAGAGATTTGTCTTTTGTTTTTTAGACACTGCTTTTAATTTCACTGATCTTTCCAATTGTCTTTTAAATTCTATTTTATTTATTTCTGAAGATAATTTCCTTGAAGACAGAAACTTCTGTTTTTGTTTTGTATTCTATATGCTTAACAAAACCAGGAATTTAATTGATATGCGCACTCCCTTTATACTTTTAAAGGATTTAAAATATTTTTATAACCAGTGTTATTTTGACTATTGTTTTTAGAATCACACCCAGAAAATTTGATACTGTTCAAGCATCAAAGGGTCATAAAGGTGGAATTGTCACCAGTGATGTTGGAGACCTAACTTTAAGCAAGAGAGGAATACGGACATCATTTACATTTAGAAAAGTGAGACAAACACCTTGTAACTGTAGTAAGTATTTTATTTTGTCCCTATTGTCAAATGAAGTAAATCCAGATTTAAAAATCTTATTGAGTCCTATCAGAACCAAAGGGGAACTTTGTCCTAACTTTTCTTTTCCTTTTATTTTTTTTTAAAGATTTGTTTATTTATGCATATAAGAACTGGGGTACAGGCAGAGGTGCAGGGGGTGAGAGGATTCACCATAAAGAGTAGGGAGCAGAATGTGCAGATCTACTGAAAAACACTGCTGAGGGGAGCAGTGGGTGGGCTAGGAGAGGTCTGCCTCGCCATATGGATCACCTCCCTGGCGGGAGATCTAACCCATGAAGCAGTGGTTTTGGACAACTTCATAACACTGCATTTAAACCCTTGTGCACCAGGAAGGGCCCAGTCTTAACTTTTTTAATGGCATTTTCCATATTCTTCCTTGTTTAGTTACTGTACTTTCTTAACCACCTCATGAGATGTATATATGTTCCTTGAAGGTAAGGACTGTATCTTATTCAGCTTTATTTCTTCCAAACGTAGAACTTGAGTTCAATGCCAAATAAATATTTTATTTACTAAAGTCACAGTTAAAAGTGTTACAATTGTAGGACACTAAATTATCACCTTAAACAAAAATAGGCTTTGGTGAAAGCAGCTTGTCAAATTTCTAAATGACTTCTCTGGACTCCAGCATGAAAACTGGAGATGACAGATTGAGCTTTAATAAATAGATAACTCTAGGGGGATAAATAGTGACTTATGTTTTCGTCATCTTGGAAACCTAGAACGGAATAGAAGACATGTCCAAAAACTTGTCAAAAGAATGCGGTTTTGAATTGCCTTACAAGTACATATGATCTGTGTATCTTGGAGTCAGTGAATAAAAATCCTACTTATTTTATAAGTAATATTTTGTAATGATAGGGATGGTTATATGTTTTTCATGTCCTGGGAGTTTCAGTAATGGGTGGCATCTAGCAATAAATTTTGGATTTAGTAATAGGCTTTAAAATATTTCAGGTTTAAGGGACCCTCCCTTGTAGCTCGCTAGGTTAAAACACAGCACTATGAAGCTGTCCTCAGCCACTCTAGCACGAGTTTGATTCCCAGCCAGGGAGGTGAACTACATGGCATGGCAGCTACCCGCCCTCCGCGGTGTATTTCAGTACATCTGCCTGTTCTCCCTACTCTGTCTCTGGTGAATTCTCTTACCCCCACACATCTGGCCTGTACCTCAGTTCTTATATGCATAAATAAATAAGTCATTTTAAAAAGTAAATAAAACATTTCAAATTTAAACCACTTATTGTTTCTATAAGATGTTATCCTGTTGGAAAACTTGAATTTCTGTATTAGATTTCATGATGTTAGTGAAACTGAAAACAGGGCTTTATTTCTTTTGCTAAATATGTTATTGAGATTTAGATCATCATTTTTTTGTCAATTAATAATGTTTATTTAGTATGTGATGAGTGTCTAACATTGCCAGTAGAATTACAGTATAGAGAAAATGAGGTATGGCTACTGTTCTTAAGGAGCTTGGAAGTCTAGTTGGAGAGAAAAACTAGTTTTCATATGCAAGTATTTATTTGTTAAGGATATTAATTAAGAAGCTATAATTGTTTACAGTTATATCACTATAATGTATATCATAACTATAAATCTGATTTATAGTTATGTGGCAATATGTGGCAGAGACCAGGCAAGGACTCAAAATGAAGATTAGACTTTATTGCAGAGAACAGGAAATAACTTCACAATTAATTTAAGACATTGCATCCTCTGTCATCTCCTCTCCTTGGGATTTATTTATTTTGTTGGAGGAGAAAACAGCATAGTCATTGAGAAGGAGGCCCTGGAATCTCCCCTGCTGAGTTCAAACATTGTTTTCATGATTTCATATCTTTGTCATTTTGAGATACTTTATTCATGTTTTGTGCTTCAGTTTCCTCATCTATAACATGGCTATAATAGTGCCTATCTGATAGTGTTACTAACACAATCTGCTAACTACTTCAAGTAGTGTTTATTGAAGATTTCTGTCTATTAACAAATGACTCTTTGCTTTTGATCTTATTCTTCTGAAATGCTAGTGCACCCAAATCTTGGAAAAACCATAAATCTTTTTAATTTGGCTACTTTTTCCTTTTTAAGTGAGGCCCATCAATATTATTTACTGTATATAAGACCCTTTAATCCAAAATCAAATAGAACATTATTTATTCTAAGGCTTGCAGAGTTATAATCATGTTTTGTTGCAAATGAGTCCCCTTTTTATGTTAGACTCCTTACACATATCAATATAATTGGACTTGTTAGTTATAAGGTATTTCAACTGCTAAATTAGAGTCTGCTTATTCCTAATCATTACACTTGGATTGATTCGCTTTTCCTTTTGGAAAACCTCATGAATCATTTGGATAAGAATGAAAGGGTTTATTGCTTTATTTATTTATTTTTTACAAGGTTACCATTTGGTCTGTGACAGCCAAATGAAGGTGACTGCCCCATCATTTCCAGAGAGTGATAAAGAAGCGTCCCAACTAGAGCAAGAATATGTCCACCGAGTTTATGAAGAAATCGCGGGGCACTTCAGCAGCACAAGGCACACCCCATGGCCACATATTGTGGAGTTTTTGAAAGCTTTGCCAAGTGGTTCGTTAGTAGCAGATATTGGATGTGGAAATGGAAAGTATCTTGGTATCAATAAGGACTTATACATGGCAAGTAATTGTGCTTCTATTTTTTTTGTTTTTCTTATTTATTAGAGCTATTATCACTTTCTCCCATATAATACTGGGGGGGGGGAGTTAGATCATTGAAGAAAAACTGTGATCAACAGCTTGAAAATTAATGAGCATATCTATTCTTTTTTGCTCATGTTGAGTATTATGGCCACACCATTGTTTGGAGTTTTTTTCTTTTTCTCTTTAGATTTTGCTTTCAAGATGATTTTATTGGTACAACTATCATTTATATATATTTACAGATTTATTAGAAAGGACTTTTTGTAGAAACCCTCTTCTCTGCTTAGCTTCTCCTCAAAATAAAAAAGATAAAGCAGACATTTTCATCCTTTTATAAATGAAGAAACTTCCTTGATGCCATATGATTTCTGAAGTCATATGACATCATATGAACTTGAATTCAAACTTCTGACTCCAAATCTAGTGTTCTTTTACTCCCACCAGGAAAAAAAAAGGTTAATATTTACTGGTTTCTTACTGTTCAGATAATGTAAACTCAGGTAGATTAAAGAATTTACTAAGGTTTGACTCCTTTTTTGTCTTTGTCCATGTTTCTGTTCTCTGTTGCTATCATTTCCTTTCCTATGGACCACTTTTTTTTCTTTCTGCTGAAAGTAAGTAGGAAGTTCTCCCTACATTAGTGCATTATTATAAATATTCATATGAACACCGTTCTGTGAGTCTTGCCTTTTCCCTTTCTCAAGACTTGGCAAGGAAGGAATAGAGTAAGGGGGTAGGTAGAGTGGAAGCTGTCTACATTCCATTTTTTCTAATGTCCCAGATTGCCAATTATCTTAATTTTTTTTTTAAAGATTTATTTGTTCATACAGAACTGGGGTACAGGCCAGAGGCTCAGGGGCAGCGAGAGGCTTCACCAGAGACAGAGTGGGGAGCAGAAACAGGCAGATCGACGAAGTATAGTGCTGAGGGGAGCAGCAGGAGGGTCAGGAGAGGTCTGCCTCGCCATGTGGTCACCTCCAGGGCAGGTGGGAATCGAACTCATGCAGAAGCGGCTTTAGATTCTCAGTGCTGTGCTTTAACCTGCTGCGCCACCAAGAAGGGCCAATTATCTTAATTTTTAACTTCATCTTAGATACTGTGCATCTGTATGAAGAAAGTAACTTACTATTGTGGTTGAGGAAAGATCAAGAATGGCCTTTCATTAAGATAAGACATTAGTCATTATTATCTTGTTTACAGTTAAATTTTAGTTGGTACACTGCATTAAGAAGCTTAAACCACTTTGCATGAGTTGGATCCGATCCCTGCCTGCCAGGGAGGAGATCCACAAGGCCTCCTCCCCAAGGCGTGGCAGACCTCCTGGCCCACCCGCTGCTCCCCTCAGCAGTGTACTTCGTCGATCTGCCTATTTGCTCCCTACTCTGTCCCTGGTGAGTCTTCTCACTCTCTGCATCTCTGGCCTGTACCCCAGTTCTGTATGAATGGATAAAATCTTTAAAAAAAAAATTACATCTCTAACCAGAGTTCAAAACAAAGAGATATGTATTTCAATCTAAGGAACTGTGAAAATATGTCTCTTAAGCTCTGCTTTTGCACTTGGTGATAGCCTGTGCCTTTATCTACTCAGGTATCACTTGTGATAGTGAAACTAGGTTGAAGTCAGCCACATAGACTTAGTCATAAAAACCTTACGCTGTTGCATTGGAAAAGAAAGGTAAGAAAGGTTTCTTAGTAAACAGGCGCCTAAATGAAGAGTCTGATGCTGACACAAATAGGAATGTATCAGGACAACAGAAGAAGTACTCTCATTCTCCACTATCTATTTTCATCCTAACGGTATCTGGGTCTGTTCCTTCTAGTCTGCTGTCGTAGGGCCACTTGCAATGTCTGATTGAGGGAAGGCTCATTAAATGTTGGTTTGGTGACTATTTGAAAACTGCTTGTCTGTTATGATTTTCCTTATACCAGGACTGGAAATGGTAGGATAAAAAGGAAGCCTGCTTTTTAAAGTTGCTTTAAAGCTTTTAAAGCACTCAACCTGGATGGAGCAGTACAATCTGAGTGCTTTTTGAACAACCATTTATGAGCATGACAGTATGTCCATTTTTTGACCTTCATAAGAGGATGTGACCTTTCATTCTGGGCATTTAAGTGTAGGGTAGACCCAGAACCTTAAAGACTATTGTTGTTACAGTATCATATAATTTCCTTAACAAGATGCAGTCTTAAGATATTTAGCTTGAACTCTCATAAAAATGGTTTTATTAACTACATTTCTATAAGAACTATGTGTGGTAAATCTGTCTTACTGATCTGAGTCAAGCCTGAGCTTGCCCCTCTCTTTAATTCAAAATGTCAATATTGTGTCCAAGATCTTTTCTTTATTAGACTTCCTCAGTTGCTCTTCATTTCTTTTACTAGCCCTAGCTATTGATTTTATAAGAAAGGAGGTTTTTACTTTCAAGAGACTTACTGCCTTTCTAGGGGGCCAGGTAGTAGATGAGACATTTATCCTTAAAGCTTGACCTGGCTCTTTCACTAGTGGTGTTCTATGCATTGGTCCTGGAGTACTTCAGTTCAAATGTGGTTCTTAGATAAAAAATTACTTAACATTCGGTATGGACTTTCTAGTTGCTGTAGATAGTTGGAATTGAAGATACAATGATGATGATTATGTTGCCAGGAGTCTATTTATAATGATAAGAACTGGGATATGTTGACTTAGTGTTCTCTACAAATCTGTTTTAACTGATGACTTATCAGTGAAGGAAAGAACAGAAAGAAAACTAGCAGTGTCAAGTACCTGTGTGTGTTAAGGGCTGTGCTGTTTGCCCACACAGACTCTGGGATTGGTGTTACTACCTCCAGCTAACTAATGGGAAAATGGATGCTCAGTCAGGTGGGACATGCGAGCCCAGTATTAGAACCGCATCTCCACACAGCATCCATCCTCTGGTGCTCTGCAAAGAGGGGCCTGAGAGACTAGAGGTGACAGTGGGCACTATGCAGACAGACATGGCAGGAACCTATCTGTTCTGCTGTCCACTTGCCACAGAATAGTAGCTTATCAACACTTTGCTGAATGTGAGAAGCACACCTGTGTATTCACCTTCAATTCCTTATGTGGAAACCAGAACAAATATACCACTGTGTTCTGTAGCCTTGACGGGAGCATGGCAACCTCCAAATGGGAAGGCCTGAATACAGAGCAAGGTTCTTTAGGACATCGGGGTTCTCTCCCTATCTCCAATTCAGGCCAAGAGATTTTATCTATAAATCATTTTACATAGTAGTAACAAGTAACATCTGCATAGTGAAATAGTAAACATAATTTCATTTCATCTTTTTATTAACCCTGAGAAATGGGCATTTTATGAAGAAACAGAGACTCAAATATTAAATGTCATTTCTAGGTTGTTCAGCTAGTTTTTGCTGAAACCAGAATTCAAATCTGTAAAGATGTACTTTACTGCCTTTGCCTGTTTCTCTGTACTTAAAACTATATCCTCTAGTGTAATTTCCTATAGCTCATTATTTTCCTAATAGCTAAAGTTGTATTTTTTTTTAAAGATTTATTTATTCTGCGGTACAGGCCAGAGTGCAGGGGCGGTGAGAGGCTTCACTAGAGACAGAGCGGGGAGCAGGATATAGGCAGATCAACAAAGTACACTGCTGAGGGGTGCAGCGGGTGAAACAGAAGTCTGCTGCACTGTGAGGATTACCTGCAGGGCTGGGTATTGAACTGGCACTGAAGTGGCTTTGTCTAGCTTGCA